CACACACACACACACACACACACACACACACACACACACACACACACATATATATACCTGTATCAATTGACTTCCATTTCAAAGCAGGCGGGACATGAATCTAGATTGTGCTTACCAATAAAGCTCCGTGCCTGATTTAAAACATATTCAGGGTAAAATGAGAGTGAGATTTAAATCTCATCTCTCGAGATGACCTCCTTCTGATGTTCTTTAGGAATTCAATACAGTCAGATTTCAATCTTTCGTTATGTTGCATGTGTTGTTTGTACTTCTGTGTACAGCATATTAGATTGAAGTCATATTGAGATGCATTTAGTGACATTTGTGTCTTTTTCACATGACGAATTATAATGTCATGAACTGGGGTCAATGCAACACACATGTAGCGTAAAAAATAAAATGACTATGAACAGGAAAAGGAGGTCCCGACTCACAAAGATGCTTTGGAACAAAAGCTATTTCCAGACATTAATTAATGGCACATTGAAGCCAAAGCACAGATGTTTCGGCGAGAAGCCCTCTTCTGCGTGCTGTCAGACAGCACAGTGGAGCGGCACACTTACGAGACAGCACAATGAGGCACACGAGTGAGGCAACTTGCCGAAACATCTGTGCTAAGGTTCCCCTGTGGAATTAAACATGTTGAGCACCACAGAGTCCGTTTGATGCTGTAATGAAATGTGTTGAAAAGGTTTCTGAGCTCTTGAGGTTTGTGAGGTGTGGACCTCGTTTCGAAGTATTCAACTTTTGACAAATTGACTCCACACGGCTGTCAACATGGCGTCAGCTGACCCGCCCGCTAGCAGCTACTGGTGCTAACAGCACCAAGCAGTGCAACCAAGGGTTAAGCAGTTTGCTTTGGATGTAAAAGTAAGAATGACAGAACAATGATAATGAATTCAATAAATGTGTAAAAGTTAAAGGGAATGGCAGGAAATAACTTGATGAAGAAAACTGAAGACAGCAGGGCTAGACGGCTTGAAAGTGTAGAATGAACAGAGGGGTGGTCAATAAGAGGAAGGGAACACTGTGAATTAAGGAGGAGTGGAGGATATTAAATATATCACTGCACAAAACAGATTATCGTCTTGTCTCTCAGGTGTGCGTGTGTGTGCATCAGTATAAACAGATTACTGCAGTGTTTGTGGGATCTGAACGAGGGAAGTGATTGCGAGATCACATTCCTGGACCGACTCCCAATCCTGCATGCGAGTGTGTGTACAGTAAGTGTGTGTGTGTGCCTGTTTGTGTTCGAGAATGATACAGTATAATCTCTTTAAGAAACCTGCATACTCAGTGCCAAGAAAGTGTTGCTATACGCAGAAGTTAGGTGTATTATTTGTGTATGAAATAGAGTTTTGCGTGTGTGAAAGTAAATAACTCAGTCAGTTGAATCGTGTTCACACACGCGCACACACACACACACACACACACACACACACACACACACACACACACACACACACACACACACACACACACACACACAC